CACTGGACAGTAGTAGTAGTTTGTACATCCTTGAGCTTGAGATGTACTGGATCTCTCTCCATGGCATGGGTCATGAGTATGATGCGACTGCCTTGTCAAATATTCTCTGCCCTGGCGCGAGCATTCCCAGCGGATCGTACCTCGATTTCCTCCGCACAAACTCTTCCCACTTGCCTCCGAAATGGGATCTCCACTCTTGCCTTGTCGTGTAATGTGGCAGATACTGCTTCAACCCTACCCCTGCTTCTTCGCTGAATTCCAGTATTCTCTGGTTCCGCTTCAGGATCTCCTCCACTCTCTCCTTCCCTGGAACCGCCGATGTCAGGATCGCCACCAAGTAGAACACCTCTTCCTCCGGTGTCACCGCCGATGTTCGATTGTCCCACCTGATTCACAACAATAGGTAAACAACTCACTCACTCTCTTTCTTTCTTAACTCACTATCTAACTTACAAATCAAATCAGCTTACTTTGATTTGTTCACTGGGTAGACGATGACTGGCCCGTTGCTTGTATCCGTTAGGATGTTTCCGAACACTCCTTTTGCAAACTCATTCATTGTGCTCCTTGGTACCAGAAGATTCAGCCATGGATGTGGAACTTCCCATTGCCCTTTCGATCTTAGCTTTATCTCAGACACGTGTACCCTGTCCAAGAACTCCTCATATGTCACCTCCGATGAAAACAGTGTCGACGAGATGTAGCTTAGTTCTGATAGGGATTCTTTCACTTCCTGCAACACAAATATTCAGTTCCAGTGTCATCTTTTTTTGTAAGTAAACCTAAACAACAAGTGCTATCATCGTTATATTCACCTGGTTGATAATATCTTTGTTATCTAGCTTAAAGTACTTGGCCACTTCCAGACAATAGAGAGTCCTGCCATCAGATTTGAACTGGCTGGCTTCCGAAGGGTCTTCTGGTGTGAAGGTTAACCTCCAGCTGTTCAGGAGGCCTGTCCGGTTTATTATCACAAACCCTTCTATGTAATCGAATTTGTTATCTGCCGCAATCAGGCGCTCTTGGTCCCTCGCAAAAGCAGAAAAATCCAGGTACAACACTCTCATCCATTTCACCTGTCCATTAGTAATACATAGCTATATCAGTTTTGAAACACCTTTTCGTTACGTGTACTGTTTTTAAAAAGAACTAAGATTCTTGTTTACCATGGTTGGTGCTGGTTCCAGTGCTATTCTTGCCCTTGTTATGATGCCAAACTGACCTAACCCACCAAGAACACCATGAAATAAGTCGCTGTTCTGCCTCTCTGAACAGTTTAGAATCTCGCCTTTTCCTGCAGTTGGTAGGCATGACATAAGTGAGTATACATTATCTTTTCGAGAATCTGTCGAGGGTTTGGTTTTAGTAGTCTATGCTTTCGAAACAATATCACAGACTGCAATTCTATGATGTACTTTGAACTAACCTGTGACAATCTCGAGTTGATGAACATTGCTGATTTGTGGTCCATGTCGGAATGCCTGGCCGCTGATTCCAGCATTGGACAGAGTACCACCTACAGTCAAATGTAGGTAATCCGTCCATGATTTTGGTGCAAGCCCGTACTTGAGGGTCTCATGCAAAATGTTTATCCACAGCTCACCACCAGATGCATCAACATACGGAGCTGGACCACCCGCACTGTGGACCTGTAGCTTCTGGGCCTGGAGTGATTCCATGTGGATAACAATTCCATGTCTTGTTTGCGCTTGGCCTTCGAGTGAATGTCCACGGCCTCTTGCTGCCACTGTAAGCTGTGAATGAGGCCCCATCGTCCAGATGTGTCGTATTGCTGAGGCGATGTCGCTTACAGACTTGGGATGTAAGACCGCCAAAGGAAGCAACTGGTATCGATTTCCAAAATCTTTTGAGGCGTGATGGACATCTTCAAACTCCAAGTGGCCTACGAGGGGAAGCGCCTTCAAAGAAGAAATGCTGCTAGAGAAGCAGCAAGCTAACTTAAAGGCTATGCAGCTGAGTAGTAAGATGATGAAACTTCTTACGATAAGCATGTTTCTTTTCCTGAGGAGGCGTGCATGTAGATAGCTCATATGGCCTCCTCTTGATTTCTGCAGGACAGAGTATTGAATACGAAGGTGGGGAAAAGGGGTTTGATCTTATAAAAGGTAATGTGAATCTGAGTGGCGGAGGCAACCAATCTTTTTGGTTGTGAGAATCCGAATGGGGACTGAGTGTCTAACAAAGGGTTATAAATAGCTTTTAGAAATGTCACTTTATCTTTCTTTGTTGGCAGAGAGAAGCCATAAAGCAGGTGCCTAGTTGAAGGAAAAAGTCACAAGAAAGAAAGATCTCACGAATCTTTTTATCTTTTCATAACAGTTACATCCACAATCTTGGCTTTTCCGAAGAAAAGGCAGACAAGATCATACCATAACACTTACCATTTGAAGGATTCCTTATTTATCCCCTTATCCCATATTTATCCTTTTCCAGTCGTAGGTATGGTATTTTGCTTTATAGGCTGAGATCTATTATCTGTGATTTGTATTCCAGGCTTTTGACTCGGATAAAGGATTGGTTTCTGATTCATCTATGAGAAAAAGAATGGTGATCACTGGAGTGAAGGACGTGGAACGAAAGAAATCCTTGTGCTCTGTGTGGGAAATCAGGGGGCAATTTCAGTCATGTTGGGACCCAAACAAGACAATCTTTGTAAGGCAAAAACTAAATGACGATGCTTTGACAGCCAAAGCAAAGCAACCAATGAGTGAGTGTTTCTGTTACTGATTTATGGCCCTCCTATTGCAGCTAGCTAGCTGACAAAACTAAACGAATCATCTCTTCTAGTTCTAAATTCTTGTGATCAGACATTATTATTATTATGGAGATTAGCTTTAAATAATGTTTTAGTTTACTTTTGCCAAACATCCGGCAGCTGGATAACAGAGAGGGACTCGCTGTTTCTTCAGACAGAATCAATGATTCTCCCAAGGTCCATCTTATTATCTCCTCTTCTTTCTTTTTCTTTGTTACAGAGCTGCTTTCGGTTTCCGAGAATCATCTTTGGAAGGAAGGAATGAATGTGCAATGAAGCACCACCAATCAGATCAAATTTTAAATAGTAACCAGGAAGGTGTAATAATATTATGAAAGAATTAAAAAAAAGAAAAGAGAGAGATTGGTGACAAGAGGTGGCCTAGTGAAGATTGTGCACCAATTTAGAAATCTCAGGGTATAGGTGTAGGTGTAGGGTCAGAGAGAGAGAGAGAAGATGGGTTCTGGGGTTTGACCAGTCCAGTTATGAACAGTGAAGAGAGAAGGTTGGGTTATTCTCAACTCATTGGTGCGGTGGTGGGCATTCCAGAGTGAGGTGTGAACTGAAAACAGAGTTGGTGGATATGGTTGGTCCTCTAGAAGGAGAAGCGACCAGAGAGCACTAGGGAGAGAGTCGTGGGGCATAGCTTGTCCCAAGCAAATCTTGGTCCCAATATATATTATGCCTTTGAACATTTGTCAGCCAAAGGGTCGAAGGGACGGCTGTGGTGGTGTAGAAAGTGGATTGGTCCACGACTCTGACCTCTCTGCTGACTTGTCAGCTTGAACTCTCATTGGTGCGTCCTTCCACCTTCACGTGGCCTTGTTCCCATTAACATTTTTCCTACCAATAAATTGAAAAGTTAAGTGTATGTGTATCTCTCTTGATTATTACCGCTTTGTAGGATCCTCGTCTTTGCATTTTTTTTTGTAAAACACAAATCACACGAGTTTTGTGTGATCATTTCAATTTTCAAGCTCTCTTTTGTATTTCCTCGCAAAAGTCAATGGCTCTTTGTTGGGTCTGAATGGGCTACTCCTGAAAGAGATGAAAATGGGTTTGAATATGAAACGGTCCACTTGAAGCCCATAACACTACGAGCCAGGCCTACAAATGAAGGATGATACGAATGGTAGCAAACACAAAGTAGCCCCACACTCATGAGTATGAATTTGATGTCCATAATAAAACTGACCAGTAAGGCAGTAACATTTAGCATTAGGGTGGGACGCATTTTCCGGACTTTGGATATTCCACCAATAATCACGATATCCGCGGATATCTTGATCCGAAACTAATATTAAAGTAATTAATAAATGAATAAAAAAGATAATTTTTAAAATTATTAGTTAAAATTTTGAATAATATTTTTCATGATCAATATATTATACTATAAATATAACTAAAAACAATTTTTATATACATATTTATATAAAAAACAGCTTAATATATGTAATATATATATATATATATATATCCGGAGAATCCGGATCCGGATTAATATTAAAAATAATTAATAAATAACATAATATTTTTAAAATTATTAATTAAAAATTTGAATGATATTTTTCATAATCAATATATTATATTATAAAAACTAAAATCAATATATATATATATATATTTATATTAAATAGTTTAATAAATGTAATATATATATATACTTTTTAATATATTTAATGCGTCCGGATCTGGATGTGGACCTTAAAATTTTGCTATCCGGATCTGGATTCTCCATATATCTTAATTTTCATAACGAATTTCGGATCCCGGATAATATTTCAGCCCTAGTGTATAGTTGTAGACAAGAGTCACAAGTATATGTAGGGGTGGGACGGATCCGGATATCTTGGAATTTCATGGTATCCGGATTCGGATCTGTGAGATCTGTGCTAAAAGTATCTTGATTCGGATGCATGACTTCCGGATATATGGACTTTGGATATCCGACCAACAATCAGGATATCCGCGGATAACCGGATCCA